TCTAGCAGGTTCCACCACAGAGGTATAAATATAAGGCCTACTCTGCCTGGGGACTGTCTCTTCAGACTTGGTCTCTTAGGATCATCCACAGGTACCTATACTGTAGATAGGTCTTAGTCATCAGGTCTACTCCACTTCCTTGTTGCCTGCTTAGACTCTTGGCACTCTCAGGTGAGCAGACTTAGTCAGCCTGTGTTGCCCTAACAGTCAGGTTAGGTGCTGTTACATACTCATAGTCCCTCCTTTTACTCTTCAAATTGGTGTCCCACACAGGGCTGTACAAACACCGTGAAATTGAACCTCGCACTATCAGCTTTCCATAGACTTGTGTTTCAAAGTAAGCACGGACACCGCTTTCTGTACCCATCCATGCATATATTAATGAGGATGCGTGATGGTTGCAAATCAATCATCTAAGTTATATTTTCCCCCTCCCCTGCATAATTTACTTTGCCAACAGGATTCCGACATTTATTAAATGTATCTCACGGTTCGGGACACTCTGAATGTGATTACATAGCATAATTGAGGAAGACATCGCTACAAACTTAGACAGTCCATACTTCTGGGTATATCCATTCATCATCTATCCCCGGCCGGTCGCATACTGGTACAATTGGCCCACGGCCGGCGCCTCTCCCCAGATATTGACCTTAGTGTACGTGTATACTTGTTGATGATGTTCTACATGCCTCGTGCGGTTTCTCGAATAGTTGCTGAGGGGGGGAATACAGGTCCAAAAATACAAGTCGAAATCGGAAAGATGCGGTTGTTATGACTGATCGCTGATATCGGCATTTGGATAAAGCCTTTCCAGCCATTCATGGGCTCGCTCTTCTTCAATATAGACGGTGTCGGACGTGAGCATCAAATGCTCCAACCCTTTGTGGGCCGTGGTAGGACAGCGATGTGCAAATGTCAAATTTGCGGGTATAGCGAGCTGCCTGAGAGTGGGAGCTGCGTTCGCCAGTTCCGCGAGTGTGACTGCGGTTGGCAGGTTTCTTGACGCTATTGGCCAATCCCAGATCAACGACCGAAGATTGGGGCATTGACCAGCAATCAGCTGGAGCACGGCGGGATGGTCGTCGGCGACTTGACATGGCATCTCATCTGGCGCGAGTAATAGCCGCAATTCGATGGATTCGATACTGGCAAGTTCTGCGAGAGGTGCAAAGTCACTCGCCACGGGCTGAATCGGGAACGGCGGCAGCAGGTGCGCGCCAGTACGCACAAGGGTATAATGCTGTAATGAAGGGGCCTTGTCCACCAAAAGGGCATTCATCCTCGCGATGGAGTCCTCTTCTTCCGGCGCGGTGATTGTGATCTCGAAGGATTGAAGTTTTGGGAAATCTGTGTTTTCAAATAGAGCAGTCGCTTCTCCAGGTGAAGCGCGCATTCGTAGAGCAGTGAAGTTGTCGAAATTAGATAGCAGTCGAAACAGGTCGTCATTATAGATTAAGGTATCTGTGCCAGGTCTCGAGGGATTGAATAACGAAGTCAAAGTGGCCGACGGAAGTCGGACGGTCCGAAGTGCAGGATGATGCCGCAGGCCACTGAGTACCTCAACGTCTTCAAGATATTTGAAAGCTTCTCCTGAAAGTTCGAAATTTTCGAGATTAGGCGCCCATTCAATCAGTTGGTAGCAATACGCCTTCAACTCCCGTCGGGCACTCCATGATAGAGGATCCAGTCGAGGAACAACTTCGCGACCCAGCTTAAGACTTTGTAAAGTGGGTGTTAACAGGATTGCAGTCTCTGCTAAGCTGACATCGAGTGATGGTACGATGATGTCGAGATGCCGCAGTCCGGGGAATATAGTGGTCCGAAACGGGTCTGCCTCCAATGACAGGCGAAGGTCGTGGAAGAGACGAGTACACAGCCCAGCTCGCTTCCAAGGGAAGCGCCTTGTAAAGTATCGATTGAAATTGTGTAACTCGAGTGTCGAAACACAGTCGGAATAGAGATCGAAGCGATCCCATGCTGTTCGTGATGTATGGAACCACTTGAAACAGTCAGTCAATCAAAAAGAACGACAGAGAGAAGGAGCCACGTACGCCTGTTTCATCTGGCTCAGGGAACAGAATCTCCAGCAAATGACGAATGTTCTTCTCGCCAGTGCAGCGATAAAGACGAGATACACAAGGTCGGGTCCATATTGACGATACACGCGCAAGAGACGCAAGTGTCACAGTATCATGCCTTGCAGCGATTTCATCAACTATGAGCTCGACGATGTCCTCCACATGCAAGGCACGAGGCGTCGTCGAACGGGAAGGGTGGAAGTATGGGGGCGGTGGCTCCGTTGGAACAACTGCATGTCGATCGTTACTCGTTCTCTGCAACGCCGACTTCTCCTGGGGAAACGAGATAACCGCTGACGGTGCCACAGGTGGAAGGAGGAGAATCAACATCCGCTCCACCAGCCAGTCGACGGCTTGTAGCCTCAGCGCCTCCGCTCTTCCTATGTATGAGGCAGGGGTGCGCTGAGTTCGTCGCCCGTTCGGTGGATAAGGTGCAAAGGCATACATGGTGGTAGGAAAAATGGACATTGGGGCTGAGCGCCGCAAGATATGGCATGAAGTGAAGCAGAGCAGTGGGCTAGATATAAGGGGTCACAGATATAAGGGGTCACTACCAGATCGTCGTGTGCCTGCGACGGCCTGTAAGATGTCAATATCGAATTTGTGATGCCATACGGCCTGTTTGCGGAAGGGAAGCTAGCCTGTTTTGCGGAAAGGAAGGCCTTGCGCACGGCCTTGACAGAATAAGTACTAGAGTACTTGGTGAGGGTAACCGACCGCACCCCCCAGCCCGGGGCATAGGGTCTACCGCGGTGCCTCTGGGCGGTCCCGAAATCTCTTGCCTGCAAACAGCTGACGACCCCTTTCCACTGGTGTCCGAACGCTCGATTTCCCATTCCCGCTGAGTCCCTCACCACGGCGACCAGACGCTGTACCGTTTGGAGGGAGCAAGGGGCTGCTGACCGAGATTACTTAGTTTGGCTCAGGACACAGCAAACACAGCCAGTGACTGAATTCGACAGCATACATATTGAAGTCAGATCCGGAGTGTATTCTATCGCATATTCTGACTGCGGCCCCCGCCCTCAATATTCAGCGGCCCCGCTGATATGACGTATCGGCCCCGGCAGGGAAGAGACATCGATTTGCGACCTTGGTGGACAGCGAGCACGATAGCGATATACAACAATAGAGATAAATAGGATGGATGTGCCTGGTCGGGAAGTTGGTGAAGGTGGTAAGAAGTAAACCGTTCGGACGGTACCGTCGTTGGGAACCATTGGGAACCAGCCTGAGAGCGGATTCAGAACGGTTGACTTTCATCAGCGGACGCGTCCATCGACGCGTCTCGCAGGTCTCCGAAGTCGACCAGCTCGCATTCTTATGGCACACTTCTATGCATTGAGCTCACTTGCACTTGCGCCTGTTACTCATGTCCTACTTAAGAGAGCAGGATATAGAACATCAGAGGATCTGGCTGGCGTTACTGCACCGCTGTTATGTAAAGGTGGAACTGTCTGACTTGGAGGAGGGGTAGACCGTGACGGCGCTGTTAGAACTGGGAATACCGCTGTCCGAGGCAGAAGAAGTTCTGAAGCCGCCTCCAAGTTCGTCTCCCCTCCCGTGTAGCCTTGTGCGCGTGCTAAGTCTCCGTTTACTAGGCAATACGATTGCTGGACCGACACCGGCGGTCGCGGCGACGTTGTTGACTGCTGGTCCTCCTTTTGACGTTATGCCTGGTCTGCCTTTTCTGCCTTCTTCTCTAATAGAGCTATGCGGTGCGCCAACTTGCGACTTGTGAACAGATTGCATAAACTTACCGTATCAGGTGCCCCGGGCTCTGGAAAAACGCGCATTGCTCTATCAATCCTCATCCAAGTGCTCAATCGAGGGGATGCTGCGCTTGTGGCCGACCTGGATGGGAGCGTACCTTCCTGGAGAGTCAAGAAGCTCATTCGTTTATGGGAGGAATCGAATGGTCTGCATATCTCACGAGTGCTATCCGCAATCACGTTCATGGTCTGTTCTAGAGCTCCCATCCGACTCGATGTCGGAGCGAGTGCATACGACGTCAATTCCGAACCTGACCTCCCTTCTAAGCTTTCTCCTCTCAATCAACTCGATATTAGCAAAGATCCCCCAGGTACTCAGGTGTAAAGCATGCCTATGGTTGACTGACAGAGATGCAGCTCAAATTGATTGTGCTTGACGGGTTATCGGCACCCTTTCGCCATCCACCATTACAATCATCACAGAGGAACCATGCGCTTTCTTTGTTGCGAGATGCTCTGCAACGTCTTTCAGCCATGTCAATAGCCGTAAGTCACAGACCAAATGCATAATACGCCTCGGCTAATGAAATTGTCACCAGGTCGTTTTCACTACACAAGCTGCCACCAGATTGGTCAGCCAATCGTTCAATCTCCCAACCACAATGGACGACAGCTCTGCGCATGCCATCCTCTTGCCCACGTTGGGTGATAAATGGTTATCTGGAAGGTTTGCCCGTGTCTTACTCGCCAGAGAAGGGAATGATGGGCATCGGTACGCACTTCAAATAAGAAAGATAAGGCCGCTGAACGTCTTGAAACAAGGGTTGCATACATTACCAAAGACGGAAAAACAGAAAGAACGGACCTAGAGTGGGATGTACGTATCAAAGTGTGTATTTACTGTGTGTTCATTCTTCTTCCAGGAATGACCCCTATTAGCGATGTGCGCAGCATCCCGTATTGTATTAATCGCCTGATGGCAGTGACCATGATCGGCGAATGACGCACATTTTCCATGAATAGAATGGTAGATCGCGGGGCCACTCATTTCAACGGCGGTCCCAATTATATTACCTACCAGTCAAACAGCGGGTCTTTTAGAAGGTCACATACTTGGATGCTCTTGCCCAAGAGAAGTGCGACCACGCCGACTTCTTTATGTTCTCTTGGATGCGCACGGCGGAAGCGAACCTCCGACCCATACAGTAGATCCCCAAGTCGTCCGAGACACGTATCATAGCACAATTGTACCTGGTTGAGCCTCGACTTGCTTATCAAGTAAGATGAGTATCATATGCGTTTGTAGGAAACTCATTGTTACCTGCAGGTTCATATTTCCTAATTTTCAACCGCCGATATGTCCGATCGCGAAGTCCAAGTGTATGAAAGAATGCAGAAGGAGTATTGATTCGGCTCGGGCATACACAAGGGCGCTTAAAAATACCGATCTTGCCGGCCCGGGCCCTTTTGCCATCTGGTATACATCTCAATCAGGAAGATTGGCTGCGGAAGGGACCGATATCTTCCAGACCCTTGGATAATGGATGTCCAGCTCAGCAATGAACGGGAGCTAACGGCTTATTTATACAGGCAGATACTCTTTGCCAAACGGGTTTGGCGTCTCCCCCGGCGGCCCATGTCATAGGCTATGGATCGAGAGACTTATCTGAAGACCGTGGATGCTGGTTTATTCTGTGCGGTGAGGTACAGTGAATGATCTTGCGCCTTATTCTGATGAGAATGGTGGTTTGTCTAGTACGACACGGGTAAGCACAAACACAGTTTGATTTATAATACATTATCTTATACCCTCCCAAGTGGCAGGAATGACCTTGTTCGTACGTTACCTGCCATGCGTGGACGGGATTGTCGTTGCTGAGTTACGGTAGGCATATGATTACCTCTTGATGTTTCCGAAGGAACGGAGATACATCTGGGGTGCCAAATGGACTCCTGGCAAGATCCTCTTCGTGCTTGTTCGGTACATGCCATTTATAGATCTGCCACTGTGGCCTTTTGGTAAGCCCATCATATCTATTTTCATGAACCACCATCACTGAGCACCCTTCCAGGAGACGCATTCCTAGCCAATCTTCCCTTGGATTGCGACGTCGCCACTTACATCACGATAATTGGCTTGGTCATCGCTTGCGTCCTGGCTGATGTGGTGTATGGGCTTCGGACATGGGCCTTGTGGAGTCGCAATCGATATGTAGGGTGGTTCCTGCTTTTCGCCGGCGTGGCTTTCAACGGGACAGCAATAATCTTTTTAGTGGTGATCCAGCCCAATGTTCCTGGTAAGGGTAATGTCGTTGACCGGAATTATTGAACTGAAATCCTTGTCCAGCCGTGCGTCTCGAGGGCCTTCCTGGTTGTTTCATCACTCCCACCCCTTTTAACGAAATATGGAAAGCTTTCTTGCTCACAACGAGCTTCCAGATAGGTGAGCAAAAGGATAAAATGGATCGATACATGTGTTCAAGCTGATCTGATCCTTATTTTAGTGCTCTTACTAGCCACTGTGATCAAGGGTTTCCAACATTATTGTATGTCATCATGGTTTTGTAGTACAATATCTTCCAACGGGAGTGATGTAGGGCGTCGTAACCCAGAGTCTCTAACGACCGTCCTCTATCAAGATGGTAAGCAACTCCACATGCGAAAATCCAAATTCTTGTATTGATAGAATCGCGTCAGCATTCCTAGCGTATTTCGCGCAAATATGTCAGTGCCATTAATATTGTCCTCTCTCATCCTCTACCACCTAACGCGTTTCTCAGGCATAGGCCTCGCCAATGTCGTGCTACTTCTAACAAAGGTGCTGCATTCGGCTCCAACCTCCCTGCTTGTTGCTCACATCCCTGCAGCAAGACATGAACTATTCAATGGACTGCGTCTATCGAGCGTTCCTCACCATCCTCCCCTCTCGTATCATCCTCAACCTCCGCGAAGTCGCCAACGTCAACAACCTCGATCGTTGGGACATGACGATCGAGCCTGGGTCAACGACTCGGTCAGAAGATATCCCTCTGCAGAGCGGCTTGCAAGCGAGGACGATGGATTCGTGGGATACGTGGGAGTAGAGGACTACACATCGGTCACCGATCAACTGGCATCCTGCAGTATTCGACAATCTGAGTGCTGATCCACAAACGGATCCACTCTGCACTTAAGGGGTCATGAACACTTCACGACCAAGTCACTTACGACAGCACTTCCCAAGAAGCGCAAAAGGATTACATCAACCACGTCCATGTACCACCCATCATGTGACCTCGAACATTACCTCCCAGGCTCGTTCCTTGTACGCATTATGTCCGACCACACAACTTGTTCCCGCTGCATTACATACCCTGCATTGTAATGTCATTATGAGCTCGCTGCAAGAGGGGAGCACAGCGCGATCAAACGCCAAGTAGCACGAATGCCATTCCATCCCAAATCAACCCGAGTCCTACGAAACCCAATGCAACCTAAATATACACCCATCAAGTGCTAACCCTCAACCTTCCCTAAAAAACAAAACCAGCACCTCGCTCTCCCAACCCTGTATGCTCCCTGTCCCACCCCCACTCCCTCTCTCCTCGTCCTCCCCAACCCCAGCCCCCGCCCCGGACGCAGGGGTAACAGCGAGCAACTCGTCCACCCTCTTTCCCCCCGCCTTTCCCGAGGTTGTTTCATAACTCTGCCCAGCCCAGGTCAGGCCTCCCATGCTCTCTACTCCGGGGACGAAGAGCCGCCTGATCCATGGTTGGCCTAGTGCGGGTTCCGAAGATGAGGGGCTGCCGCTGCTGTTGGACGACCCTGATGCAGAGGGGGGGAGGTTGGAGAACGTGTATGCGTAAGAGGCGCGTGTGCCCGAGGTGTACGGCGCTGAGTTGACCAGCACAACTCTGAGGAGCTGGTCCGTATCTGCAGCCCAGACACCCCAAGCGCTCACCTCCCCCGCCCCAGTCTGCAGTTCCCCAACCCTCACCGGCCCAGGGTAGGAAAGTGCCTCAGCAACGACGAGGAGCAGGTGGTACATGGGCAGGATGTGCGCTCCGGAGAGGTGGGTGTCGTCTGCGCAGGAAGAAACCGGTTGGAAGAAGTTGTACCGATAGCAGAGGCCGTTGTGGAAGTATAGCCGCTTTACGCCTCTGGTGAGGGCTTGAAAGGTGTCTATATGCGCCGGTTAGGGACGTCTTGCTAGAGAGGAGGGAGACGGGAAGAGAGAGAGACGTACATGAGACAGCCCAGATGACGGAGCCGGCGACGTTGCTCACCCCTGGGGCTCCGTGACCGCCTACGCTACCCGTCTCCCCAAACTCGAACTGGAGGCCTGCTTTTTGCGCGGCGGAGATCTCTGGCGAGAACTGGTCGAGTTGGGAGGAGATGATAGATTTGGACATGAGGTCTACGACTGGGGTGAGTGGGTGTGAGGGGAGAAGGGGGACGGATGCGTACCGGCGATCTTGGTAGACCATTGATAATGATGCTCGCTTGCTATTCTTGCTAGCCCTCTGAGGCGTTCTGGAGCCGCGACGCCGGCATTGAGTGCCCCGGAGATGGAGAAATTGGCACGAGCGCTCGGGTTAGCGAAGGCGAACAGCTGGAAAGTGGGTTGGCCATAGGGTAGGGAGGCGTTCACTATGGAGAGTGCTGCTGCATTCCAGCTGTATGCGCGTAAGTGGGTGAGAGAGAGAGGAGCGGAGAGCGCACTTGGAAGCGTAGAACGTTGCTGACCAGTTGCCGTACATATCCGGCTCGTTCCCAATCTCGAACGCTCTCAACTTGACACCCGTCCCCTGCACGCTCTCCCACGCCATCCTCGCAACCTCCCGCGCCATCACCGGGTCTTGCGCTCGAAGGTTGATGCCAAAGGTGAACTCTGTGCCATTGGGAAAGTTGCGCGCACTTTCCCAGAACTCAGGCCCGGCGTAGACGAGCGTCGCTTCTGGATAGAGACGGCTGGTGCTGGCGTTGCTACTAGGAGGGAAGACGGCAGCAGAGGAGAGGATGCTGGTGTTGGGTGCTAGCCAGGTGCGGTCCTCTGTCGTCCCCCCTACACGGACAGGAGGAGGGACCCCAGATCGATCGACAACATTTTTGAGCAGAGTCTGGGTGTACGTGTTCTGTGCTGAGGGGGGTCCGGCCCATATAGGGAAATGGTCTTGCTCTATTGAGAGGCCGACTGGGAATGTCGAGACCAACTGAGAGGATGGGACCACGTGAGGCAGAGTGATCTTCACCACCGTCGCCTGCACGACCAGCACCAGGAGAAGGACATGCCACACCATCGCTCCCCTCCCGGACTAGCGTAAGTCCTGTCCATTTAAAGCCAACATATATCCTCCCTTGGCGGCTGTCTTCGGCCCGGTTTACTCGCCCACACGATGGTAAACGTGCACCTCAGGGCGTCGAACGACTCTTCAGAAACGCTGGTGGCTGATGGAGGTGAGGGTCACCGACCGTTTGTCTGACGTAGCCATGAATCACCGGACACTGCCACTCCGTCCCTTGCCATGTTGACTAACACCGAGCTAACACCGAGCTCTGACAAGATGGGATGATGACACTTCATTCAGAGCACTTGTTACACGTATTTCACACTTTCTACTCCTCGTCCGCTTTAGCCTCAACGGGCACCTCAGCCTGTGGCGTCAACCTTACACAATGTCTCCTCTCCTTCGAGGCATCATAATCCGGGGTCGCAGAATGAACCGTAACCCTATTATCCCAAAGCACCACCGTGCCGGGCTTATACCCCGCCCTGACCTGGAAGTCCGCACCCTTGGCAATATGGTCGTACAGGAACTGGAGGAGGTTGTCCGACTCTTCCTGTTTGTAACCGACGATCCGGCGCGTGAACCCGGGGTTGACGTAGAGCGCTTTCTCCCCCGTGACAGGGTGCACGCGCACGAGCGGGTGCTGCCAACACGGTCAGCATCCTCTCTCCTAGTACAAGAGCAACCGCACCTCAGTCGCCACAGGCTCGCGCCTCACCGGTCCCCCTCTCTTGGCACTAAACTCTGCCTGCTCAACCGCAGAATGCACCGCCCTCAGCCCCTCCAAGCGTTTCTTAAACGCCGGGCTCAGCCTATTGTACGCTTCTACCTGGGAGAGGAAGAGCGTGTCTCCCCCTAGCGCGGGCTGGTCCAGAATCCAGAAGATCGTCGTGCCGGGAGGCTGACGTTCGTAGGAGACGTCGCTGTGCCACCCAACCTGGGAGAGACGGTTGTTCCTGCGTTCCTGGAACCGGTCATGCGTGGGGTCGCGGTACACTTTCGAGTTCCCCCTCCTCATCAGCCCACAGCGTCAACGGCAGAAGCAGGGGAGAAGAACGCACCAACATGAAACTCCGGATAGCCGGGTACGTTCCCACTAGTCGGATGCCTCTGAATCGGTCCAAAATGCTTAGCCAGCTCGATCTGCCTCTCGAATCCCAGATCCTTGAAATCTTGATCCCGGAGGACGACGAGCTTGCGCTCAGCGACGAAGAGCGCGAGCTCATCTAGTCCTGCGGGGGGGAGCTGGGAAAGTTGGATCCCGAGCAGCTCGGTGCCGATGTACGGCGAGAGATGGTGCACTGTTGTGTTGGAGTTGAGCAGGTGGGGCTTGAGCGGATCGGCACGTAGACCGGGATCGTGATGCTCTGCATGGATGTGCCGTTAAGTTGGGAAATACCCGTGAGAGAGAAGGACGAACCGAAAAGCTCTGTTGGGGGCCATTTCTCCGTCAGGTCAAAAGTGGGGTAGTAAGCGGGGTAAGAAGGCCCTTTCTAGACAAACATGAGCGTTGATCAATGCACCAGCAGGAGCGCGCACATCTTCAGTAATAACAGCAGGTGCAACCTTGACATCCTTTCCCCCAGGCGCGGCCGTTTCGGCAGGAACAGTCTTCTCAGCAACGGAAGGCGCCATAGTCAACGATCAAAGATCTCAGACAACCGCGATCAGAGGGGCAGATCAAGCCAGTACATCGCCAAGAATCCCATTTCACAACGTTCATAAGCACTTCTCGACCCCAGTTCGGCCGAGTGACTCTGCGGGTAGGAACTCACGATATCTACTCGCGATATCACGTTGCTCTGGCGCCATCTGAGAAGCCTCATATACAGTACATCTAAGGACGGACCAGTTCGAAATCCTGAGGAACGCATTCGGAAGACTCGGAATGAAGCATGCAAATTTAGAGGGGTTTGGAGTCCTTTCTTGTGCAATTGGTACCCTGGATGAGGACAGTCGTTCATTTCCGGAGATGTGGGAGAGAAAGACGGCACAGCCGCTATGCTGGAAGAAGTTAGAAACACTTCTCCACACTAATCAATCTCTTCTTGTGATCATTGGTCGCCCTTCGCCAGCTGCCTCCATTAATAGAAGGTCCAGAAATGGCAAGTTTTTCGCAATACATGGAGAAGTGAAATACGCATTTTCCACATTTTTCCGGCACTTCCTTACAACCCGCAACCAACCAGGACAATAGGGTTTATCACACCAAACTGCCCCAAACTACCCCTCAATCTGGTGTGCTTCAATGAGTTTTGTCGGTCGGTCAGCAACCGCCCTCGTATGTGATGCTTCATTCAGGTCACTTGACTACAGTATATACTGCTAATTTGGTTTTCCATACAGTCTACTCTAAATCCGGCTTCGCCTCCACCGGCACTTCGGCCTGTGGGGTTAACCTCACGCAGTGCCTTATCTGCTTCACCTCGAAGTCCCCGGTGGCAGAATGCGCCGTCAGCCTGTTATCCCAGAGGACCACGGTGCCAGGCGCATAGCCCGCCCGAACCTGGAAGTCGGCACCCCTGGCCAGGTGGTCGTACAGGAAGTTGAGGAGGTTGTCGGACTCTTCTTGCTTGTAGCCCACGATACGGCGGGTAAACCCTTGGTTGATGTAGAGCGCCTTTTCACCCGTTACGGGGTGGACGCGCACGAGCGGGTGCTGTTCATGCTATTTAGCACCTCTGCTGCAACAACACCTGTAAACGTACCTCAGTCTCCACAGGCTCACGCCTCACAGGGCCACCTTTCTTCCGGCTGAACTCTGCCTGTTCGACAGCACTGTGTACCGCCTTCAATCCCTCAAGCCTCTTCTTGAACTCGGGGCTCAACCGTCTGTAGGCCTCTACCTGGCTGAGGAAGAGCGTGTCACCCCCGAGGGGAGGCTGGTCGAGGATCCAGAAGATGGTGGTGCCAGGAGGTTGCTTCTCGTACGAAACATCACTGTGCCATTGGGTGCGGTTGATACGGTTGCCGCGGTACTCCCGGAAGAAGTCGTGCTTTGGATCGGTGTACACTGTTTCGATCAGCACCGTCTCGATTAGAGCGCAGGGTAAGAGGCACTACTCACCAACATGGAATTCTGGGTAGCCAGGGACGTTGCCACTCGTCGGGTGCCTCTGAATCGGCCCGAAATGCTTAGCGATCGCAATCTGCTTCTCGAATCCGATATCTTTGAAGTCCTGGTCACGGAGTACGACGAGTTTGCGCTGTGCAACAAGGAGTGCCAGCTCGTCCAGGCCCTCGGAGGTGAGCTGAGACAGCTGGATGCCAAGCAGCTCAGTACCGATGTAGGGAGAGATGTCACGTGTCGTCGTGTTGGGATTGATCAAGTGCGGCTTGCGAGGATCGGCACGCAGACCAGGGTCGTGGTGCTCTGCACGGCAGAAATCAGGCTACCATGAAATGAAATGAACGCAGATGCATACCAAAAATCTCTGTGGGAGGCCACTTTTCCGTCACGTCGAAGGTAGGGTAGTAAGCGGGGTAAGAGGGGCCTTTCTTCATAGGTAGTGTGAGCATTTGATAGGGGCGGATGTGCGGTGTACAAACCTCCTCCGCTTGAACCGTGGCACTTTCCACCTTGAGGTTCTTTCCCACTGGCGCAGCCTCGCTGTCCGGAGCAGTCTTCTCAGCAACAGAGGGGGCCATGATTCAAGGTAGTAACCAGGTTATCAGACACGCAGAGGATCAGTGATCAGACCAGGAGTTCTGGATACGGCCAAGGAACTCTCTTTTCGAAGCTTATAAGAGTGCCTGCATCCTGGGTTCGGCCGATATGAACAACTCGCGATATCACGAAGCTCTGGCGCCATTTGAAGAACCACCAGGATAGACCAGTTCAAAATCCTAATGAGCGGATTCGGCAAGTCCGGGATGGAGGATGAATGACTTGGAATCCTTTGTTGTGCAATAGGCACCCTAGATGAGGATGCCTGGAAAGGGCAATTACTCCACAATGTTGGAGTAAAATAAATACTTTCACACCCTCACCTGGAGAAACTAGCGGTAATACCCGATATGAGAATGGCCAACTTGGATACAACTATCGATATCTGAGAATTCGCAAGAAAGAAGCATGTTGAGCTGATCGGTCGTGGTCAGGCGCAAGGAACGCGCAAAGACGCGTCATCCGGGAGCAAACAAGGTGAGTCACATGACGTGTCTTCAACTTTCCCCACCATCTGTACGCCCAATGTGAGTAGTAAAACATCCATCCCAGGCTTTCATACTCATCAGGTCAATATCAAAACGTCGTTACCAGACCATCCAAGTACTTGGTGGACTTCATCCCAGCATCTGTACCTGTGACTTACGTTAGTCCGCTCGCCTTGGCGAAGAAGCTGAGTGACGAGATGCTGGATAATGATTCCATCAAAGAGGTCATTCTCTACTTTGAATGCGACGAGGATCCGCCTCATGTCTATATCAGATGGGACATGGGCTCTCTAGGCGAAGACGAGACTCTTTGGATGCATGTCAACTTGCAGGGCAACACTGGGAACTATCATGCCTTTCCTCGCCAGGTAAAGAAGCGTGATAGGGCCGTATTGCGGAAGGAGGAACGCGCGTCGCTTGGGAATCTTACTCGATCGCAACGCGACACGATCATTTCAGTTGGTCATCGGGTCAACTATTCAAGGGACTGGATACGGAGTTGGTTGTGGAGGCTGCTCAAAGCCCTGGCGTACGTGGAGGGTGTCTTAGATCCACCCATGGTCGATAGCATCATTGCAGAGTGTCAGCTACGACCCCCTGTACATGAGGCAGATGGCTCTCCCAGCGTGGATCCCTCCACATGTTTGAAATCTTGAGCAGCAGTAGGACAATGTATCGCACGCCCGGAATTGGGTCATTGTCAGACAGTAGTACATGTATTTGTCCGGCCGAAGGGTTTTCGCATCCGTCAGGTCCGAGCGTGTCTACCTTTCACAGTGATATTAGATGCATACAGTTGGAGGGAAGGGTTAATGGTAGTCGATGCCTTCGACAATGGCGATTTATATTCCCCAACGGAGCGCCAAACTACTAAGCACGACAGAGACGCTACTGAGCGCCATGGCGAGCGCCGACCAAACAGGAGGCAGCCTTGTGTGTCCGGCAGGATAGAACACACCAGCAGCAAGAGGGAGAGCCGCACAGTTGTAGATTAGCGCCCAGCCAAAGTTTTGCTTCTGCCGGCGGTAGACGCGGGTCGCCAGATGCAGCAGCGAGGGTAGCGTGGAGAGCGACGAAGATAATATGATGAAGTCTGCAGCAGCGACGGTGATCTGCGAACCGTGCCCCAGTGCGACACCGACATCTGCGGCCGTGATAGCGGCGGAGTCGTTCAGCCCGTCGCCACAGAACAGGACGATGGCCTTGTCGCCGCGCTTCTGGTGGCTGCTGATGCCCAGCCTGTGGAGAACCGCGGTTGTCCAGCCGGCGGCACGCCTTCCTCTCTGTCCCCCTGCTTGGAACCGACGGATATGATCAGCCTTTTCCTGCGGGAGAACCCCCGCGATAACATGATCCTCGTCAATGCCCACGCGGTCCGCGACTGCCTTGGCTGTGATCTCGTTGTCGCCGCTGAGCATCCAGACGTCTTTGCCAAGCTTCCGGAGCGTCGCGATCGCGTCTGCTGAATCTGGTCGAGGAGAATCGGAGATAGAGAACACCGCGGCCATGGTGAACGCTTTGGTCGAATCTCCGTTGGGTATCCCGCGGGTAGCAACAAGGACAACCGACTTGCCCTCGGCCTTCCATTGCTGGATCTCTGTTCGCATGTCAGTGCCTTCGGGCCAGTTTGTTCCGCTCTCGAGCATGAACGCCTCGTTGCCGATGATAACCTCATACTGGTTGCCACGGACGTTGACAGTCCCCTTGGCGCCACGACCCGCAACTTCCTCGGATCGGAGAAGCTCCACTCCTGCCTCACCGGACGCACAAAATGTCCGAAGCGCAGCACCGAGCGGATGGCTCGATCCTTCTTCGATCACTCGAACCGACTCGCGCACCCAACCTTTCTCTTCTCCATCCAAGAAAAGCGCGTCTTCTACTTTGGTCTCGCCGACAGTGATAGTGCCGGTCTTGTCAAAGACGACAGTATCCACCTGAGTGGCAAGCTGGAACGCTTCCCCCCCACCCTGAGCTAAGACGCCCATCTTAGCCGCCAGACCAGCACCCACAGCTTGCGCAGTCGGGGCGGCAAGCCCAATCCCACATGGACAGGCGACAACCAGCACAGCAATCATGAATTCGAAGCTGAAGAACACTCGATTGGCTTTGGTATCCACATTCGCTCCCATCGAACCCCCAAGGTCGGAGGCGGAAAGGTAAGATCCCGGGACAGCGTTCGTCAATGCGCACGCAAGCCAGATGACGAGCACTGCGAGAGAGAGCCAGATGATGAGTGGAACAAATACAGCAGTGATCCTGTCCGCCAGGAGCTCCACGGGAGCCTTACGCCCCTGTGCATCTCCAACAGCACGTACAATCCGCTCGAGCATTGTCTCCTCCCCAAGGGCGGTCACTTCAACCACACAAGCAGAGGAGAGGTTCGTCGTCCCCGTCCAGATCTCGTCTCCAACAAGCTTGGGAACGGGCACCGATTCCCCAGTCAGGGAGGACTCGTCAAATGTAGTTGATCTGGAAAGGAGGATGCCGTCGGCGGGAGGAAGTGAGCCTGGTCGCAGGAGGATACGATCGCCGATCTCCAGATGGGATACAGGGATCGATCGAGTGCGAAAAGCGGGCTGGTCTTCGCTCATGCTCGTGACGGAAGGAGACAGAGTAGTCTCATCCTTGGTGATTTCGTCTGCTGACTCGCTGGCCACCGCATCGGAATAAAGTAAGGTGGCTGTCTCTGGTCGCAGCGTCCCAAGAAGTGCGATAGCGTCTCCCGTCATCACCCTCGCTCTCGCCTCCAAACAGCGACCCACGAGGATGAAGAACACGAGAAAGACAACGCTATCGAAGTATGTTGCGCCCGTTCCGTTCCCCTTTCCAAGGGAAGTGTCCCTCGCCATCATTCCCAGGCTGCTCCAGTATGCAACTGTTATAGAGAGGGAAACGAGTGTGTCCATGTTGCCGAAACTTATCAGGTGGGAGAGGCGGAATGGCCGACGACGGACCGCAGTGCGGAGGGCGGTATATGCGTGGTAGTGGAACGTCCGTGCTGCCAGGACGAAATACACCGGCGTGGCAAGGGCGAAGAGAAACAGCGTGCCGATCGTAGCGCCACCCCACGCCGAAGACATGCACCATTTATTGAGTGGATTGGTAGATGAGAGGAGAAGCATGCCCACGATGCCGATTACGAATGTAGGTAGGGCGAAGAGGAACGAGAGCGAGAAAGCGAGGAGACGGTGGTTTAGCTCCTTGAGTTGAGATACGCGGGCCAGCTCGGATAGTGTGGGAGGGCGATAGAGCGTGCCTGAGAGGCCGGGGGGGAGGGAAGAGAGGATGGTGCGGATCGAGAGGGCAGATGAGGGGAGGTACGATAAGGTGAACAGGTCTGGAGAGCTGGAAGGTGGTGTAAGCACTTTGACGTCCAACTTTGAGAATGCGTCGAGCAAGGCCGTACGGACAGCACTATTTACTTTGTTAGCCACTTATCGTGTGAAATTAAATCTCACGTACCCATCCTTGGCACCTTCTACCCTCAAAGTCACCTCCCTCTTAGCTGGTCCTTTCCCCTTGCCTTTTGTGCTGCCTTCCTCCTTCCCTTCCGCTCCAATATCTTCGCTCCTCACATAAGTGCCCTCGAACCCGCAGTCCTCGATGGTCTCCACAACCTTCTCGACAGATAGAATGGCGGGATCGTGCGTAAGACTCGCACTGTTCGAGCGAAGGGAGATGTCGATATCTTTCGCAGATGGGAGGGGTGCGAGCTGCTGCGTTAAAGTGGATGTGCACGAACTACGATACAAACGTTAGTACATAGCGGTAAAGCGTATATAGGAAGCGTAACCTACCTGCACGTCATCCCTCCCACCGCAAAGTAGCTCTTGATCCTCTTCGGCTCTTCCGCTTTCTTGACAGGTTTAGAGCTCACCACCTGGCTCTCGAACCCGATTTCTTCTACTTCATCAGCGAGCTTTGCCGCAGAAGTGACAGAAGCGTCGTGAGTCACCCCCGCGGAGTGGCTGATGAGGGAAACGTCGACCCCGCTAACTCCGGGAAGTGCTGTGAGAGCAAAAGTGATTGCTGATGTACATGAACTGCTGGTTGTCAGCCGTGGCCTTCTGGTAAAGATGACAACATACCTGCAGGTCATGCCACCGATACTGAGCTGAGTGAACATCATCTGTGGCTCGTGTTTCTCCACAGTGATCTCCATCAGTCCGACTGGGGCTTGCTGTCCAGTGGCTTTCTCGATGTCGGTCTCATTCTCCTTGTTCCCGAGAGTGCCGAAGTGGTTAATCATCCTCTGAGGAACGAAACTCCAGAAGCTGCGGCCAAATGCTTCGCTCTGTTTGCACGGCGCCCCAGGCTTGCAAGGACACCCTGTACATGCCAGGTTCTTATGCGGCCAGTCAGGGGATGAACAGCAAGAATCATGCGGTCCGTTGGTGTGCTGACTGGTGTCCCCCTGAGCCGCGGCGCGAAGAGTGGCCATCCGTTCGCAGCAGGGGCAAATAGGTTCGCATGATCTCCTGATGCTTGCCACGCTATTCCCAGAGTGGCACGAGCTGGTGCGTTGTGGTGAACAGCATCCTGGGGATTCGGGGGGTTCTTGTGGCTGAATGCGTTCTGAGGGAGTTGGCGACATGATGATATCCCTTTGGGGTTAGATAGGAAAGTAGATGGTAGAACTAAGCACGTCGTAAGGGCGGATGAGTGATTATGGCTGATATGCTGTATGTCGACTGATCAGCGAGTCAGGAGTTGGTGAACGATGAGCCTCGCGGTCGCTTGCAGGCAACAATAACGGAGAATAGACAAAACAACGTTTGAGCAGTACTGCGCATCCCCTCGGTCCGGAGTAGCAGGAGTATATACCCCTCTGTTGCGGGAATATCGCCGTGACCGCAGCATATGGTCGGACCTTGTCTCACCATTACGAAGCCCCTATGTCAGTGTTGAGGCATTTTGTGGATTGGGCGCTGACAGAGACAAGTCCATCAACATGAGCGATCCCCAAAAACTGCTTTCAAGCTCCGCATGCCGAGGTGCCGCCCAAGTGGTCAATCTCAAGTGATGTGGCCAAAATACCTCATCCAGCGACTCCTATTGGATCGGGGACGACAGAAGAGAAACGAAAAAGGGTGGCGCATGTGGATGAGGCATTTTTGGAGGATACATTATTACGTCAGTCGGAAGCGGATCTCGACCAACGTGGAGTGAGGGATTTTTGCTGCCCAATATGATCCCGGTCGGACTGGATCGGGCGACTTCGATTGATTGGTTTATGCGCTTCCGTCTGGGGAACATCATGGTGTATTTCTCCGAGCACCCTCTCCTTTTGTGGCCATCATCCTTCCTTGTTCATCAGTACACACCATCTTTACAAGATCGCACTATTGCATGCTCTGTATGGAATACGACGCGCGTCGCTCTCCAGGATATGGACATGCATCCCGCTTGGCAAGAGAAGAGCAGCCAAAAGAGGAATTAACATCACCTGTTCTGTCGTGCTGAAACATCAACCAACCACACCCATTTCACAGGGGGACAGCGATATGGAAGCGAGCGCGTCCTTTGATCTGACGTATACTGGTACTCATCGGCTTTGCTATGTATACGTTTGTCTCAGTTCAGCCTTGGAAGATTTACATCCGCCAGGATGCGCGCAGCTTCCATTAGAGGCAAGATGAGACTGCACCTCCTCTCCAATCAACTACCCCGCTTAACTTAGTATTGCTTCTGTTCTCCCCCAGTAGTGGCCCTCCATTGCACCAACACTCAGGAGTATGCAGATGTATAATGAAGAAGTAGCCTCCCAAGTGACGAAGCAATCGGTCGAGTCCCCCCCAAGAAAGTGGATGAAAGGCGACGGTGAGAATGCTGTCGTTCTCCTACAGGACGAGTCCTCTTCCCCCGGTGCAGGATCCAACACCTTCGGGACGCAATCGCGTACGAAAGGAGGGGTCCTTGACACAACTTTAGAGGTTGACATCGGAGGAAGCGATGACGACGAAGCAGGGAGGAGTAAGCATGGGGAAACCAGCAATTCAGTCGAGAGCTGTGCCTCTCCCAGATGGATTCCACACGAATATTCGTGTTTCCTTCAAGACCTGCATTCGACCGATGCTATCGCAACGGTCATCCCGCTTGACGACAGTCACATTGTGACTCTGACGACCAATGCATTTGCTCGCATGTATCGATACGACACATCGAGTCAGCAGTGGTTGATGCATACTAGCCAGTGCCTCCACCCCGATGCGACAATCCTCGACGCGGGTGCCCCGATCGTTTTCCGTGATAATCTTGGTGCCCGCGTAATGGTCCCGTATTCACTGGACGAAGGTCAATCAACCTACGAAACGACCACGCATATCGTGGAACTATTACAGAGCGGCGACCATGTTCAGATCGGACATGTATGCGCATCTTCCAACGCCCCTATCGCATGCAATCGGGAGTGGGACGTATTCTCGCTGAGAAACGGCCAACCCTGTCTCCATGCGACGCGACTCTCCGATGGGAAAACGATTGTTTTCAGTAACGGTGGACAGGTGCGCGACTCTGCAACCCAGGTGTTGTCGAAGGCATCTGACATCTATCCTTACAGCGCTGCAGCCGCCCATTGGCTGCTGCATTTATGCAAGGCGCCCTATGGGTGCTCAACTACGAATTCGGCTACGCCGAGGTGTATGTCGGTCTTGACGCATGGGCCTCGCAAGAGCACAGCCCGGAGCCCATCTGCGGTGCGGAATTCGAGGAAGATATCCTCAACGCCCGTTTCGAGATCGTCAATGGACGCTCTCTCCTTGCAGTGCGATTTGTGACGTGGATCACGCTGTATGAGCTCAATGTAGTGAGCAACGACAAGTCCACTCCCCTGAAGGCACTTTGGACATTCGATTTTTCACCTAGGGATGGTCTGGAATATCGCTACATATCGGCATTTGCTATCGCGGACGCTGGTGCCCAGCTCTTCTTCATCGATCATATACGACATGCAGACAACAGTTCTCGTATCATGACTGTTCGTCCCCATATGAAACCTGGGGACGAGTCATTCATCTCCACTTTTTCGGAGGAGGCACAGGTTGCTGTGCAAGGGGGACCAGAGGATATTCTCAGGCACATGAGTTATATGCAGTATCAGGGAGGACGTCTCACCGTCGGCCGCATGACCTCCTGCCTATGGATCACGGTTTCACTACATTTCACTTCTATGCCACGCGACCCAATAACATTGGATAACCTGCCCCGAGACCATCTTCACGTCCTTACGATGAAGGACATGAAGAATAATCGTAACTGGGTGCGTTTCGCTACTGCTTGTTGATGATAGTATTCTGATGTTATTATCGGTCAGATGTCAGAATGGGTGCAGAAGACACGTGCGCTCCAGACCTCCCCTACCGAGGATATACTCTACTCCACTGCCGATGACGCAGAGTCTGGCGATCAGGATATCATCACTGGTGCTGAGCTCATCCCGTTCCTTTTCGCTTTCAACGCCCAGCCATCAGGTGAACGTGGGTCTTGAAGTTCGCAGGTCACATCAACGTTCCTATACATCTCGCTTGTGTTTGCATCACATCTTACGCGAACTATGCGATCATTCGAGCGAACTTTCCGGCCGGTCCAAAGTTCTTCCGTCTGGACTGCCATTACGAGGAAGATGAGATCCACGAGCAGGTCGTGCTTCGTTTCTGGAATCAGACAAGATGGCAAGACTGTCTCAATGAGGGACCGCCAGGAAGCTCTGACAACTCGCGCTGGCCCCTCGACCTCGATGCCTTGTGCACTGAGGAAGCAGCGGAGCGTGAGAGACAGGAGACATGTGTGGCGTTGGACAATCAGGAAGGCGACTCTAAACCAAGCCTGGACTTGTTGAATGCTTGGCGCCGCCTCGGATTCACAGCCCCGACTATGACGGCAATGTAATAGGGTCAGAGGGGATAGGGGGTACGAACAGAAGGCATCCAGCACTACGGGACATTACACAGAACATTGCAGTGCGTGCGGAGAGTGGCATTTGTCAAGCAGCGTGCTGCTGTGCCGTCTATGGCTCCAGAGCTTTTGCATCCCTTCCATCCTTCTGCCATGGACGGTCACCGTCGCAGCGACTCGGAACAACATTTTGTTAACAAAACGTAGGAGAAGCCGGCATCGGAAGCACAGGTCGATCAGCAGCGGCGGGTATTGAGCACAAGAAAAGAACTCCTCGATCGAGAAGAGATGACAGAATTCGACCAGCCTTGGCGAGGATGGTGAAGTGGAAGCACGGAGGTTGACCAGACCCGCGTTGTCTTTGCAATTAGTGACAATGCATTTGCCGTTCATCATCTTCGCCTGGTCTGGGAGCTCTGTGTCTTGCAGCAGTTTAGGGAATCGAATATTCATGACTGGCGCGTCTTTCGGTTAAGCGACTCTGTCGAGTAAATGCGAGGGTGAGTCATCTGGTCTTATCAGCCTTCAATGACAGTAGACATGTGAGCGCATCAGATGAGCGCATCAGACGGAAAGCCACAGCGTCTGTGGACTGCTCTCGCTCGTACTTTGGCCTAACCCCTTCAGCGCGGCCGATTCCCCAGAGAATCGGCAAATCTCGCTCAGCAGCGCGTTTACTCTCATCCAGGCTGATGGAAATCACGCGAGCTCACGCACCCAAGCTGAAAAATGGTGTCATCCCGTTTTCCCGCTCCACCTCCTGCATCTGCGGGCTTTTTGCGGAGGGGCAGAAAAGACGCGCTGCGGCATTTTGGTTATATGGCGATATCCTCCCGAGTATTCTGCGTGTTGTGGACCATCAATAGAACTGGCCGACACACGAGAGGAGCCCGCAGTACTTGCCGTTTGGTCTATTGTACACTTCTCCACGTTGTGCTTCCAGTTTTTCTGCTGTCAATGGCAAAACACCTGGTTTCGCGGACATCAACACCCCACTCCTGGATTCATATATTTCTGCAGCTCGATACCTCCTCCGCGCCATCTGACTCTTCGACGTAATGTGTGACAATCTCCACCACCGCAGTCATCAGATGGCGAACATCTATCACATATGAAGGCTATTGGTGACGATCTCATCCTGGGATTGATGATGCTCTAGCGTGGCATCATAACAGCCTGAGAAAGATCGCACAAGCCTGGTCACCCTGCGGTGTGGGTCAGGTGGACGTCTGGGAAGCATATCACTCTGATTGATAGGTACGCACACCTCTTAAGGTTCGTTTGATGCTCCCTGGAGACCATGATGCTGCAGTTTGTGGACGGTCAGTGGGGCTTTTAGCCCTTATGGAAGAGACGGTACTGTGTATCACTCTGAATCCTCAGATGATCAGAATTCGAGTGCTGTGGTGCAGTATTCTCGACGTTCTTTGAACTCAGAGGAAACCGGTAAAGATCTTGGAATCTGTCAATGATCGAGCCGTTTGAGACCGCGTATTCCAGTCCTCTGTTGGAAACCGCTTCTGTCGTCAACTTTCCTGTTAGAACATTTCTAAAGGAATCCCTCCATGTTTAGCAAGTTTGAGCCACTGAACGGGATCAGGAAACCTGGATACATATCAAAGCACATGGCTTAGCCCATTCAAGGAAACGATGCGACTTTCGGTCCATTCCCGCTGGCAGGAGATTGATCCATGCGCTGTTCGTTCCCTGCGCTGAAGGTTTGTCTTTGCTTCAACCACAATGCCGCCTGGAAGGTTCGTGAGACAGCCACCTAAGAGAGGGCTTCGGCTGAAAGAATTAATGGCAGATTGCGATTACCACGAGCAGATCCAATAGCCGATGGGGATGCCTGAGAGGCGACCGCCCGTCCTACCGATCTCGCCGACAATACCGCATACCAATCCCGCTTGGTGGTGCGTGAAACTTGTCTTTGTCAAATATTTCACGTGCTCTCTGATAGGAGTTACGAACAATCTTACAAGCGCAGCACCCTTAGGTACGTGATTGGCGGAGCCTCACATTGATGAATTCCAAATGGAGCACTCATCATCATCTATTACGTCATGGCCGTCATACAGGAATCAGATACGCAGCTCCCAGTCAATTCGTCTGACAATGCTGAGAGGATTCGGAAGACGCATTCCTGGACAGATATAGCACAATTCCAGAGGGTTTGGTACGCCTGTGTGGTGTGGGGTTTATGATTTTGGTCGTGTGATGATCTACACCGCGTTTATCTCCGGTGAAGATTTGACGGATCTCATTATCAAGTCAGACGACTCGAGGCGTGTGTTCATGCCGTAGTAATAAAGAAAGAAATCAATTTTGAGAATACGGTCGCCTTTGATAGAGTCCTCCCCAGCTCAGCGGTCGGCTGTCGTGTTATATTCACTGGTACAAGTGCTCGCCAATTCATAGTGTCGAGAGCGATTGGAAGTACAGTACGCGCGTGTGGGCACCAATTCGAGGCATTGACTTGGAAAACCAAACGATTATCGCATGGTTCACACAGCCTCTGCGAAGGGAATGGTTCCTGATGCTGTGTCGTTGTCATTAAAGATATTGCTTTACCTAACAGGGTATGTTACGAGACCCAACTTCTCTATTTAGGTTCACGTACCTGCCGAATTCAAGATAATTCTGAAGTTGTCAATGAAACGATAAGCTTCTAGGTCGGAGGGACACACGATGCACGCACCTGGAAGAGGAAACGTATGCCGAGCGGTCCGGACCTGGGCGGGAATGACCGAAATGCATGGCTGCAAAGACGACCGGAAATGCAACGAGGGTCAAGTGCCAGTGCTTGGTGAAACTTGTTCAGTCTGATGTTCTTCAAACAGCCTGGATACTCTTCCCCAGAACTCGTTTGTCAGCAAGTTTGAAGAGGCGTGTCCGACGGCAGAAACTGAAGATATGGCAGCGTCGGGAACGAACGCTTAACACCATGCAAAGCGCTGCGATTGATGACTGCCTTGTTCTGCTCGAGAAGGTAAAAGTGGCCACATCGAACCAAGAGGTCGAGACGGATGCAGTCAAGGCTGCATTCCGAAGTCTCGGAAGATTCAGCACTGCCACCATCTTGATCTCGATCCACGATCCATCGGTCAATCGGGTAACCACATAATCCGCCGGGCGCCGCCGGTGATCATGTGAGGACATCTCCAGGACAAAAAGGGCAACCCTTTCCCCAAATGGGCAATACATGAATTTGTATCTTTCTCCTTTTCAACAATATTGTTACCTTCACGCGGTAATTCAACTCCGAGCAAAGCACCCTGTGTTACGTATGTTTGAGGCTTGAGCACGTTCTGGGAGATAACGTTGATGAACCCCAATCTTCTGCTCACGTTCTTCCATTGGAACATTCTGGTGGTGCTTCCTTCAACTCTTGGAGAGATTGCGTAAGTCGGAATTGATGAGCATTTGTATAAGAGTTGCACCTGACGTGACCAAGCTACACCGCCTTCTTCGCTTCCTGGGAAGTGAGTCCGTCACAATCAGATTCCCGGCAATTCTGTCCGACGCTATCGTACCTGGAAACAAGGAGGATGCAAGATCGTCAACATGATGATTGTCATACATAGTGCGGGTACGTTAAAGATAACTTGTGACCAAGCGCAGTAGATGTTGCGCCCTCCCCAATGTCGTCCCCACTTCAGCAGATAGGTGAGATTTTGTTGGGTCAAGACGTGCGTCTTTCGTCGTTAAGGCAGTGCACTGAACTTGTACTAACTGTTGTAATCCAGTATGGTGTTTGTACGTGCCAATATCTGGATCTATCCCTCATTGTTGATTAATTCATTATCAGGTGCTGCAGCATCATTGATCGTGAGCCGATTCTGTCTCCTACGAGCTTGCGAGTTGAACCTTCACTTAGTTTTTTGATTACTTTCTCACCTTCCCTCAAGAAGTCCGGCTCGTTTGGGCTTCCAAGTGGACACCGGGAAAGGTGCTATTTCTGTTCATTCGTTATGTGGGATTGACTGATGCTGCTGTTTCTATATATGGTCAGTTTGCTCTTCGAACCCAATGCTGCATCTGACTATTCCACTTGGTAGTACAATTTGGCACTACGGTAACACCAAGATCATGCTTAATTTCAATGTATTGGTCTCTGTGTACGCAAGCTACCATTTTGATAACTTGATGCGATGCTAATGTCCGTACCAGTGTCGATGTTTGTCACCTCAGTCGCTGCGTCCCTCGTTTTGGCCCTGCGTACTTGGGCAATTTGGAACAAGAGTAAGATGTGCGGCGCGATTGTCTTCACTGGATGGATAGTGGGAACAACATGCTCGGCCTTTTATACAATCCGCTCCATCATCGGCTCCTCTCCGTACAGCAACATCTTCGGTCTTCCAGGATGCATTGACACGACCACTGCAGCTGCAGCAAATGATGCCGTGAAAGTGTACGCCTTCGGTTGCGCATATGAAATTTGTGAGTCAATCCTACAGGAAAGTAACTGTCGCCTGACACCATGATAGTGATCTTCCTCCTCACTTTGGCTCGAGGACTGCAACAATGTAAGGAATCGCCTCATTTCCACATGATCACCGGCTCACAGCTGTCTAGTATCTAGCAATTCACCGACACTGCTGTTGGTTCTATACCGAGATGGTGCGAGCTGGAATTCCATATTGGCAAACCACGTCTGACTTCTGTTGCAGCCTTCATTGCTTCTGTCTGGACACTTGGTAGGAAAAATCCCACCGGCACAGTCCGCTCAAACTGATGACGCATAATAGCCTTTTCAATCACCGACGTGGCACTGTCAGCAACACAGAATCCAAATTTCTACTTCTGGTGCTTGATAGGCTTCGCATTCTCCTTCATAGTGCCCACCCGCATCATCCTCAATCTTCGAGCAAGTACGATGCAGATCGATCAATGGGACGTGACGACAGGACATCAGGACATGTCTCCACGTGCGATAGCAAGCCCTCGAAGGTCAAACCGTTCTGGCCAGACATCCGAAACCAAGACTAGCTCTGATGGCGGTACTGATGTTTGAGGCTGGGATAGCATTGTACGAGGCAACGTTTGGCGAATGTAGATATATACTATTCTTTATTTCTAATTTAGCAATGTTCAACAGCAGAGACATGCTCGTCGTTTCGGGCTGTCAAATAGTGCCGCAATGTCGGGGAAGCTCGGGACCAATTACGAGCGCTAGACGTCAGAGACCTCGCGCAATTCGGCACGCGAGGCCCTCCTTCGCATACCATGCTGCTGCTCTTACAATGGCAATCGCAGAGAAGTTCCTCCGTGATAAGGGACCGGTTAGTTGAATGTTTGAGAAGGTGAGCGGTGGAAAACGTGTTGGTGGCTCAGGTGGTCTTTACGTCTGATCCGGCGCCAGCACCAATGGTTGATCCCCCATAATCCCCTTCGAAGGCGTGAAGATTGTGTTGAAGATCTACCATAGTCGGGTATCTCTACTATTCATAGGCTGGAAGAAGGCAGCTTCTATGATGCAGTGCGCCGAATGCATGCGGAAGATCGAGCCCGTTCCCCGTATAAAGGGGGATCATGATGGGGGCAGCACAGCGCTCTTCTCCTCGCATCCTCCCTCACTGTCATGGTGAAAACCTTCTAGTTCATGAACAACAGCTTTGGCATTGAGAGCCTAGCACCCCCCGTGTATTAGTCTCGGCTGTTAACGAAGAACGCTTTTCAAGTCTCGCTCTACAATGTCCGCTGTTTCTTTGGATGAAGTAGCGCAAATTATTCTTGGACAGAACGTGCGTATACGTACATTTTGCGTGCTTCACACGGGTACTGATCAGGGGTCTTGCTTTTCAGTTTGGATGTTGTATGTTGTTGTACGTACATGTTATAAACCAGCATGCTGACATTCCGGCAGGTGCTGCAGCTACATTGATTGTCCGCCTTATCACCACCTCGACGATTCTCTTCTAATTGTTTCCCAGTATCACGACTACTTGATTACATTTCCTCACGAGGTTTCATACATATGGTCAGCCAGGTGGACGCCAGGCAAGGCGCTCTTTGTTGTTATACGTTATTTGGGATTGATTGATGCCGCAATCTATCTTTATGGTACGCGCTTGACATGTTCTTCGTTCTCAATGTACGATTCTCCGACAGTTCAATTCGGCACATTTGTGTCGATGGAGTCATGCACTGTGACTATGAATTGGACTTTAGGTACGTGCATGTCGATTGCCCAAGCAGCCTGGTATTCACGTTCGCTACAGCCACGACTTGCTTCGTGTACGTCGCAGCAGGCCTTGTCCTTTCCCTTCGAACATGGGCGATCTGGAACAGAAACTGGTACCTTGGCATTGGTCTAGGCGTGGCGTGGGGCGCACTTACCGTGGCTGCCATCGTGTTTACAACCTATACGATGGTTGGGTTGACTGCATATGGTCAACTTCCCGGCCTACCTGGATGTGGTCCAAGAGTTACCCCTGAGGCATCCGCTGCTTCCCTGAAGATATACGCCATTTATTGCAGCTATGAAGGAAGTGAGTGTCCATGTACTTCCTGGCTTTCAAAACTTAAAGTAATATCAGTAATATTCCTCTTAACTATCGGTCGCGGCATTCAACACTGTAAGCCGCAGTGCCTGTTGAAGGATCGAATAGCACGGCTGATTGCTTTTTTCAGTATCCAAGCCGTCCGGGCTTATGTTGGTACTATACCGAGATGGTACGATTTGCAGTTCTCTGTGTTAGACGTCAGCCGACTTCCCTGCAGCCTTCCTTGCATCTACTTGTCTACTCAGTAGGAGATCATTTTCCCAGGAGGCTGACAAGAGTTGACAACCTGACCAGCATTCTCGCTGATCAACACCATTCTATCAAGCTCGAATAGCCCATCCTTTTACTGCCCCTACATGCTCAGCTTCGGATTCTCGTTCATCGTTCCCTGTCGCATCATTCTCAACCTGCGCGCCACCACTACTGAGCTCGATGACTGGGATGTTGTCACCACTACTCGCCAGCCGCCTAATGGACGCATCCCTTTGGGTGCTTATCCTGTCAGCGACCGTGCAACGATAAGTGAGCGGAGCACGAGAAGAACGCGTCGCCACCAAAGTCGATTTTTGGAGACAGACTGGTCAGATGAGGAAGAGAGTTGATATTGGATTCTTGATCCTGTCCTCAACTCAGACGTACGACTTTGGCGAGGAATGAGATACCCATCATTAGAGATCATTGATGCAGGCCGCTCAGGAAGAATTGGCTGTGACTGCGTTGAGCTTGAGCAATTGACAAGCATCCCAGGCTTGTTACCAACACCTGGAGACAAAGAGAGATTAGGGCCATACCCGTACGTGATCATTGATATTATATGTATTCCGTCACATGTTCTAGCGCGTGTGCTTGAAAGGTGTTAATAATACCCAGCCTAGTTGGAATCTGGACCAGCAAGAACAGAGCCTGTGTTGAACAGCCTCGGGCTGGGGGATTGTTTACCCGATAATGAACCGCTTCCGATGTGGGCACAGTGTCCAGACAGAAGGTGGTCGAAGCACCCCCTTTTGCACTACGAGAGTCATAGCTCCCAAACATGCACTCCGAGATTATGCTGTACGCTGCGGGACGGACATCACCATGTCAACATCAGCGTTGACTTTGTGCGGTTGCGACGCCTCCCAACAGTTTCGTCACGAACTGTGGTACTTAGACCCCAAGCCACGCGTCCAAACCAAGGCGTTTTCCTTCTTGAATATCCTGGGAGTGTTGGCTCGCCCGCCGATTCATTGCTAGTATTGTCCAACATCAGGTGCTCGTCGTATCGAAGGCTATCTCGATCCGTCGCTGCGCCACAAAATTTGGTGAATGACGTCTCTGACCCCTTATAATGTCTCTCTAACCAGCTCGAGCCCCACATTCATGTACGCAACCATACTTTCCTGTCTGCTCAAGTCACTCATGTGAACCTATGTATAGATGTCAGCCATTTTGTGATGGGTTCTATGGCCTGAATGGTGACCCTGCTGGGGTGCGTGTCTTTCAAGGATCATCACCTCCATACTTAAAAGCTTCTAGGGGTGGCGATCGAACTTCTCAGACACTTTGACATGGCCTGATCCAAGCCTGGAGAATGTTGGGTCTGAAGTTCCATCCCGTCAGACCTACTTGGATGGAGCAAACGTGACGGTCACGTTCCAAGGTCAGTCCCTGCACACTACTTGTTTTCTTTCACGCTTATTGCAGCTCAGGGACGGCTGTGTATCTTTGCCTTCTACCTATTGGTTCATCTGCGACTTTCACTGTTGATGGAAAGCCTGTGACGACGGATGGGTTTCCATCAGATCCAGCATGCGAGCATACGGGTGCCATCAATATGGTATATGTCTCTAATCTAGAGTACGGAAACCACACTGCTACACTCCGCGTCAACTCGCAAGGACAAGCAGACTTCTACTTCTTTGGAGGTGTTGTTACCCTCGGGGTTTTAGGGTGAGATACGTTTTCCGCACGCGTATCCAACTATGACTGACGTTTGGCCAGAACCAATCCAACTCCTTACAAAGGATTGACGATACGAACCCTGGTTGGAAATACCAGCCTTCCACTGGTAATGACTGGCATTACGATTCACCAAGTACTTCCACCGCCGGAAATTACGATCAAATGGACCCTTATACTCGGTCTTATGGACCGTCGTACACCGCAAGCTATATCTTCGACGGTAATACGTAGTTTTCTACACTTTCTGTCCAGCTCACCTTTCTTGACAGACTCATCCGCCGTCCAATTAATGGGCATTGCGAACTTGAATATCGGGCCGTATACAATTCAGTTGGATGAAAACTCTTTCTACTACCATGGATCTAACCTGTGGCGCGAAATGCAGCAGGTGCTGTTCTTCCAAAGCGGCCTCGATCCAACGATTCAGCACACGATCTTAATAAATGACCCTTCTTTCCCGGACGTCTCGCAGCCAGTCGGGCCTGACAATTACACCTGTACGACGGTTGATCAGCTTCTCCTGACGAAAACCACTCCGATTCCTGGTGGGGGCGGCTCGGCGCGAACGCCCACGGGTGCCATAGTAGGAGGCGTCGTGGCGGGTGTTGCAGCAATCTCGATCATTACGGGTCTCTTGATATGGCTGTGTATTCGCCGACGACGACGTGCGGCTCATAGATCGCAATTCGAAATTGATCCGGTGCCTGAAGAAGCGATGACGGAGGCGACACCATATGTCTTCACGCTTCATTTGTACAGCGCCATAACAACGGACGACAAAACAATATTCGAGTTTCCGAGACCGGAGGAATCAACAACCCGTCTCGTAACGACTGAGGAAACCATAGAAGAACCGCAAATCATTCCTGCGCCCATAACAGAACCGCCGTCGCCACGCCGCAGAACTGGCAAGAGTCGTCGTGGCCCTCTCCCTACTCCCAGAACGCCCTCATCACGCGCCTCGGCTGCCCCGACCCGCGCAACTTCCAATGTGACTGCCCTGCCGTCCGTAGATGCTCCGGCTAGAGACTACCAGGAGGCATCCACATCGGAACTAGTGAGCATTCTCAATCGACGGCTTCGAGCAGAGTACATGACCGACAATGAAGATTTGGAGCCGCCGGAGTATGAGCCGGGCCATTGATGTATTTAATCTACGCATGTATAACATTAAGATTATAACACCGAGTTACGAGCTACTCTGGACAGGTATTCTAAACTATCACTTAAGTCTGGACCAGAGCCTCTGGTCAATAATAGAGAGATGGACCTCGGTGTCGTCGGTGTCCCCAGGACGCGTGATTGGTGGACGCGATGATGTGCTCTCACACGATCTCGTTGGGTTGCGAGTCGTCGTGGGAACGGCCCCGATCCAAGGCTATGCAGTAATTACTTCCGATGACTGGACACAGGGTCCAAGGAAGAACGGCCCTTAATTCGGAATAACTGTTATCTGATGTTGTCCTGCACGTTCTGGCTGCGCGGGGTTGCATTTCCGATGACTTTGTACCGCTTGCATGCCAGAGCTGTTCAACAGCACCTATCCGTCATTGAAGGATGGGCATTCAAGCGTCCCTTGCGTCAGATAATTCTTGGAGTGCTGGCTCATCCGACTGACTATCGCTTGTGCTCTCCAACATTAGACGCTGGTCTCTTCCGAGGACAATCTCTACACATTGTGGGAACACCTATATCGTAGTATTCGCCAATGTCGGCTCTGTATCCTTATACAATCTCGCTCGTCAGCTCGAGCCCCACATTCATGTACGAATCTCTCATCTATATTGGGTCTTCATGTCAATTTTGACAGATTTCAGCCCTTTCGTGATGGATTTTATGAATCGGAGGGTGATCCTGCCGGGGTGGGTGTACTTCATCTAGTCTTTGGTCTGCTATTGACAACCCTCCAGGGATGGCGAGGGACATTCACCAATATTACCACTTGGCCCAACCCAAGTACTCAGAATATTGGATCAGGTGTCCCATTCCGTCAGACATACCTGGATGGAGCGAATTTAACACTTGCCTTCGAAGGTAATGCTGCTCTGCGCTCCTCCACCTTGATGCTCAAACCACATCCCAGGAACGGCTGTATATTTCTGCCTCACTGCTATAAATGCAGCATTCGACTTTACAGTTGATGGGAGTCCCGTGGTGACGACTAAATCTCCACCGGCAGATCCAGGATGTGATGGGACTGGTGCCGAGATTATGGCATACACTTCTAAGTTAGAGTACGCAAATCACACGGCGACCCTGCAGGTCAACTCTCGAGGACAGGTGGATTTCCGCTTTTTCGGGGGTTTTGTTACGATCGGCCTTGCCGGGTAAGCTACTGGTCTTGCAGTGCATATATGTACATTGTTAACGGTTGCTGCTACATAGCACCAATCCCACTATAGAACACGTTGATGACACAAATCCAAGATTCGTATACCAGCCATCAGGTGACGGCGCCTGGGATTACGAATTACCGAATAATGATACAGCCGGAGATTACGATAATACGAACCATTGGACCTGTGGTTACGGGCCATCAAACACTGCAAGTTACACCTTTTTTGGTAATACTCACCCCACCTCTTTTCTACACTACTTACCTTGCTCGTCATACAGCCACCACCATCTCCTCGCAGAACAGGCAAGATTCGTCGTGAGACTCTTCCTCTCCCCCAAACACCGTCATCGACCACAGCAATTGGCGCACCCTCCAATACGTCTGCTCTTACCCCCACAAGTCCTCCGATTGTTGGAAACTACCAGGAGGCGTCCACATCAGAGCTAGTAAGCATTCTCAATCGACGGCTTCGAGCAGAGTATGTGGCACAGAATGAGGATCTGGAGCCTCCAGAGTATGAACAGAGTCGCTGATGTCTGTGTTATACATGTATGTAGGTTATAGAGTGCATTTCGTACTTTCATTTCGCCTCGTTTCAAGAGATCTATAATGTGTTGAAACGAAAGGTCGTGGATGAATATTCATCTTCAAAATGGTATTAATGGGCCCCAACTCGCTAGCGAAAGTGGCCAAACATCTCGAATCTCCGCACAGCCCAAGCCCACGGCACATTCTTCCACTATACTACCAGTGGTAAACCCGCCCAACTCCCACAAAACAACGCCCGTTAACCAGGGTCTCAATCAGCCCTGCATTACAAAAATAGGCCCATCGCAATAATCAGCTGCTCGTAACCATCCAATGTCATCAGCAAATTCACTAGCTCGATCGAGGTTCGGACCCTAGTTGAACCAACTTTTGATGCTCACTCCCAGCTTTCTTCATCGAATACGTATATCCAATTGGCTATCGGTGCTATATGTTCCCACATACAATTCATATTACGTGCGACCGAATGGCTATTTTGGGGGAGTCCACAAGACCAGTCGCAAATTAGTTCCATCACTTCTACGTACGAACTCTGCCCTGACAACCCCGGTTCGCACGGCTTTGGGCTCGACTAAGATCCGTGCACAAGGCTGGCTCAGATCTTCTTCAGACAACGCGGGAGCGCGTCTAGATATCTGTAATTCTCCGTTCTCCTGTGTGATAACAACTTTTCTCTTCGACTGTTGCAAAACTAGCTGGTCAGCTCAAGTCAAAGACGTACTAGGCGGGTCGACACTTTGCTGAGGAAGTGATATGGCGGCCTTTACCCCGTACAACATTTCACTGAACAGCTCAAGTCCAACCTTCATGTCAGGATGCTCAAAGCTGCTTGCAATGCTCGTTATGCTCACCCATTCCCAGATACGAGCCATTTCAAGAGGGTTGGTATGCTCTCCAAGGTGATCCAACTGGCGTCAGTGTTCTGCATCATGTCGATGAGGCTGGGGATCTGACATTCTACAGGGGTGGCGCACAAGTTTCTCTAGCCTTACTACATGGCCAAACCCCGGGTTGGGTAATTTCGGGACTGGTGTGCCGTTACGAGAGACCTACCTTGACGGTGCGAACGTGACCCTGCAGTTTGAAGGTAATCGCAGCCCAGCGCGGCTTTTACAACAAGAACCAATGACTGATCTAAACCCAGGTACCGCCTTATACCTCTGCCTGTTATTAACCGAGTCTGCGTATACCTTCACGGTAGACGGTAGTCCCGTGTCGACTACGGGCTCTGCGGAAGATCCGGCATGCGCTAGCACAGCTGCCCACCTTATGGCGTATGTTGATGGTTTAACTTACGGTAGCCACACTGCGACATTGCGAGTTAATTCGCAGGGAAATGCCGACTTCCAATTCTTCGGAGGTGTGGTGACCGTTGGACTGAATGGGTGAGCGGTACTCGCAAAAAGTTCTGCGTTCGCAATGAGCTAACAATGAGATAGCACAAATCCAACTATTGAACGTATTGACGACGCCGAGGTGGGATGGTCGTACCAACCTGCAGGTGTCTGGATCTTCTCCACTCCTGCCACCGCGACTAACGCGGCCAACGATTACGCCGGCACTCGACATTGGATGTGTTCGTATGGACCCGCGTTTTTGGCCAGCTACACCTTCAATGGTAAGATACTTCTTGCAGAGCTTGTATTCAGGTGAGTTAATGTGTGCTGTTTGTAGAATCAGCGGCCGTCCAACTACTCGGTATGCTGGATCTCAATATGGGACCATTTACGATCCAATTCGATGGCCAGTCATACGTCTACAACGGATCTGACTTATGGCACGAACCCCAACAAGTGCTGTTCTTTAAAGCAGGTTTAGATCCGACAAAGGAGTATACAATCACGTTGATCAATTACGATCCAGCAGCCCCGAACGCGCAACAGCCTGTCGGACCTGACTTCTACCCTTGCGCGTCGGTCGACGAGTTGATATTGACGAAAGTAACCCCTGGTCTTCCGTCGACTGGCGGAGGAGGCAATGGCACAGCGGGAGCTGGCTCTGGGGGTGATACCACAGGAGGAGCGGTTGGGGGCGCCACCGGAAACGGCTCGTCACGGGTTGGAGCTATCGCAGGTGGTGTGGTGGGTGGTGTTGCACTGCTCTGTATCGCTCTGTTTCTCCTATGGTTCTTCTGGTGGAGAAAACGAAGTGCGCCATTATCCGATTCGAGCCGATCAGAGATCGACCCGTATCCGCAAAACGAAGCCAACGAAGAAGCGATTCCATATCCACTCCCTCGGTCGATGTATAGCGCTGCCCCGACCAGTGAGAGCGCTTTGCCGGGATTGGACCTGCATAAACCCGAAGATGGCAATTATATCCAGAGCCCTTTGCAACTATTGGCATCTCCAGTGCCGGTGCAATCGCCGACTGAGCATCGAGACACCAAACAACATCTCAATAACATGTCGATGCGACAGCCCTCTGCACCTATCAGCCTGTCCATACAACAGTCCTCGGCAACCTCGACGTCCGAGTCGACGCCGTACCAGGTCGCCACGACCCAGGAATTGGTCGGTATCCTCAATCAGCGCCTTCGGGAAGAATATCGCGCCGAGAACGACATGGATCCAGAACTTCCGCAATATGCACCTGCATCATGATACCCATTCTTTATTGGAACGAGGACAGTCAGGTAGTCCAGTCAATATATCACTTGATTTCTCTCCTACATTCGTACAATATTAATCACCCAAGAACCCTCGGCTATGCTAGCGTGGGGAATAACTCGTTTGTCTGAGGGTGAACGCAGGGCATTTGTCTGTGGCGTGGACCACAGCAGGGTTGGCAGTATATCTAGTCGGAGGACTGTATTTTAGTCCGAAGTGCTCTAACTCTCCTCTTCCTCATGCCACATAAGAAGGAGAGGCTGGGGAGAGCAGAAGGGGTCGATTTGCTCACCCGCTAACCCTGCTCCTTTAGAGCATGGACGGAACCGTGGACGTCGGGGGAAGCGCCGACAAGCGGCATCCCGCCGCCATCGGGGTCGATACCCGCGACAAACCCTACCACCTCTGCTCCAGACCACCAACCCCACTCTGGAAGCACGGGCCCGACTAGGGCATTAGATGGCTGTAAATATAATCACTCTTGCACAGCGATATGCACGAGCAACAAACTGGCCGCAAGTATTCAGTTTTAAACATCAAATCTATACTGCTGTCCTTAGCCATGTCTATTCCTGTCTACACCCTACTTGACGGTCACACGATCCCACGACTTGGCTTCGGAAGTGGCACCGCACATCTTAGGCAAGATGCAGTCAAGCCCGTGCTCATGGCGCTGCATGCGAATTATATGCATATCGACACCGCGCAGATGTACGGTAACGAAGACACCGTAGGCGATGCGATAGCTCAGTCGGGCGTACCGCGCGAGAAGGTGTTCCTAACGACCAAGTTCTTCGAGCTCACAGAGGGCCAGACGGTCGAACAGAGTCTGAAAAGTAGCCTGGAGAAGCTGAAAGTGGCTATGTCGACTTGTTTCTCATACACGCTGCTATCCCCTTCGACAAGCCCGGCCAACTGGAAGATGTCTGGAGGCAGATGGAGGGTGTGAAGGAAGCCGGTCTTGCGAGGAGCATTGGCATTTCTAACTTTCGCCTTGACGAGCTCGAGCGTGTGCTCAGAGTTGCGAAGCATAAACCTGTCGTCAACCAACTTGAGTATGCGATTGCAATTCCTCTGCATCAACATTTGGATCTCACACTCGTCTTTCAGATTCCACCCGTATAACTACGAGCAACTGCTCCCCGTGTTGAAACTACAGGCAGCGCACGGCATCCTCACTGAATCATGGGGCGGTCTTACCCCTCTGACGAGGAAGACAGATGGTCCTGTCAACGCTGTTCTGCAAGAACTCGGAAAAAAGATTAGAGCATCACAGGGCCAGATACTGATGAAATGGTTGGAGCAAAAGAGGGTTATCGTCGTTACGTGAGCCCAGCTCCTCACAACGCATCCCGTACCGAGCTGACAACACTCCCTTAGGACCACATCCAAAGAAGCGCGATTGAAAGAATATGTGGACGTGTATGCTCTGCCCGAGCTGAGTGACGAGGACATGAAGGCCATCGACGAAGCCGGACGCCAACTGCATTACTCGGCTTCTGAGCTGTGCGCCCAGCATTACTTTGCGCAGAAGGTCCAGAAAGCGCAGTAGGAGCCCAGAATCGTGTACAACTATCCTGTGTATGACTGTTATTTCGTGTACGTAAATGAAACTAAAGAATGACGGTCGATGCCCCCCCGAAAGCAGGTCATATGTGTTCTGTCAGGCCCCATGTGCTTCTGAACATCTGTAAAGAATACTTATTCTGGAAGTCATAAAGACTGTCGAGAACAGAACATCGGGGATTACACGCCGTACTGCCAGCAAAGGCAGGCATCAGACAGCGCACATGTGAGATCATCTATGTCATTTCATAGAAGCTTCTGAAATTGCCGATTCAAAGGGTGTTTGTGTTCTCGCAACCCAAGTAGCATTGACAAACTACTATTGATACAAACCGACTGTTCTGAGTTCTGTTCCGACAGCTGAGTAAGATGCGTAGGGAAGAGTTCATACATAGCCGCAAAAGGTAGCAGACCCATTTTATATAATACCAGTAGGTCATGCCAAGCGCAAGAAGCGTATAGACACAGGAGCGCATCATACCTTGACGCTACGCACGGTTCGCTCGTCGACTTCGTCAAAGTTGTAGAGCGGCTCAAGCTTGGCAGACCGCTGCCAGAAGATGAAGCGCTTGATGAAGTAAGGAAGAGACTTGGTGAGCTGGTAGTTTGCGTGAGTGTGGATCGGCACGGCAAAGACGTAGTCCAGCTCTTCAAGTGTGCGCTCTTTGGTCTCGGGCACGAGGAAGAAGATCATCACGAACGCGAGGAGGTTGAGGCCTGCGTAGAAGCAGAAGGCTGAGACAGGGATTAGTGATTACATGCAAAAATGATGTATATATGCTCACCTCCGGTGATGGTCATGGCGCCAACCATGCGAGGGAAGGTCAGGGAGAGTACTGCAGCCCAGAATAGGCACGTCGCGACAGCCCAGGCCATTCCCATTTCACGATGGCTCAGGGGAAACACCTCTGCCGAATAGGTGAATGGCACGGGCCCCTCACCAGGTGAGTAGAAGGCAGCGAAGATGAAGATGAAGAGTGCGACGAGTGGGATCTTGGCGCTATTCCCGTTGGGGATGAGGTAGCAGAGACCAGAGGCAAGCAGCGTCCATGCCATGTTAGGGAATGTGGCGAGGAGAAGGTTGCGTCGGCCGAAGGTGTCGATTGTCCATACTGCGGGGAATGCGAATAGCCAGTTAACAAGACCGAAGCCGAAGGAAGCGAGCAACGCCGACTTCTCCGTATATCCGCCTTCCACGAAAACGGTAGACGAGTAGAAGGCGATGATGTTGATGCCGCACATCTGCTGGGCGATCATGACGACGAAGGAGGCGAGGGTGGCACGGCGGACACGCGGTATGGTGAATAGCTCGACGGCGCGAGTGAAGTAGGATGAGCCCTGCAGAAGCTCACGCTCGGCTTCTAGCTGGGAATGAATGTAGTACAAGTCACGTGCGGCTTGAAGTTCCGTGTTCCGCAGACGACATAGCGAGCGGTAGGCATCGTGGACGCGGCCTTTCTTGAGGTACCAACGTGGAGACTCGGGACAGAAGTAGACACCGATCAGGAGGGGCACGGCCGGGATGAACGCGGAGCCGAACTGAAGACGCCATGCGATGTCACCGACTTGATAGAGGATCAGGTTGGCGCATACACCCCTATAGAACGGAAAGGGTTAGGTGGATATAGAAAGAAGCGGAAAGACTGCATACAGGAAGATACCGAAGGCGGTCCACAGCTGCCAACTCATGACAAGGCCACCACGGATCGCAGCGGGAGTGTTCTCAGCAGCAAAGACGGGTACAGTGGATGCTTTGGCGCCCATACCGATTCCGAGTAACAGACGGCAGACAAGCAGCTGAATCCAGGTCTGTGCGCATGCGGAGCCGATGACGGGAAAGATACAAAAGAGCGCGCATATAAAGATGGTCCCGCGACGGCCGAAGAGGTTATTCAGAGGGTCAGAGAGCCAGCAGCCAATGATAGAGGAACCGACTGGAGGAACTAAATTTAGTACGCTGAAACACTGAATCGGCGGAGAACTTACTATAAGGCCCAGCGTTGATGACACCGACAAGCCACTGATTACGCGCCGCAAGAGCCTGGTCCGGGTCATTGTCGTTAATGCCCAGAGCAATCGGAAAGCTCAGGTTGGCTCCATTAGAACCTTCCTGATCCCAACCCCTGCGCACGATAGTAGGTGTATACTCTGAGAATGAGACAATCGGACGTACTGCACTGCAGCACCAATGGAACAAAGGATGATGGTGAAGTACAGCGCACGGGGCTGGTGCCACTTGTGCGTGCGCTCGCGGTGGATAACCAGTTTATCTTCCTCGTCGAGCTCCGTGAGCTTATCGAACTCGCCAGGGTTTTGGGCGAGCAGGGCACCCTTGACCACGACGGATGTCTTGTCCTCCATATTGTGTTCGACGCAGAACTGTCGTGCAGCGGCGATGAGGTAATCGTGTGGGATTCCATGGAGCGGGTTCTGGACCTTGGCTTGGATGTTGTTATCGAGGGTGACCTCCCTTTGCAAGCCCTGATTCGTGTGCTCTGTCTCGGGTTTCTCACTAGGATACACCTCGTTCGGGATGGAGTCGTTAGACATGATCGTTATCGTGGATAGTTAGGTCCTTCTTCACCTATATAGAGAGGTGTACAGGGTAGGTTCGAGGGAGGTGGGGCGGATGGGGATTCGGAGAAGGAAGGGGAAATTGTGGAGCTTACATATGATCCACGGGGGGAAGGATCGGTGCACTGATAGGCGAGACATGTGCCGACAGGATTGAGTGCGGCCCAACCGGTCTTCGTTCAATTAATCCAGTAAGATTCGGTGCGGGAGAGTGTTTGATGTAAAAAGGAAGTCAACACAGAGCTGACGATTTGGGGTGGAACCACATGGTTTCGCTCCTTCAAGTCGCGTTTCCAGTGTTTGATGCCGTGACTCTTTCTGATGGATAGATGATTCATAGTCCCATCGTCTGATCATCGACATGCCAGCAAAGGACCACCAGCATGTCCCACATTTGTTCGCCCCCACTTTCAGTACCCGCACCCCACTTCATCCCCACCATTCCCCTGCCAAGCGAGATAAAGAGAAGCAAGCAAATTACTCAGAAGCAGTCAGTCCTTGTGCACCTTCCTCCACAGAAAAAGGCAAGAATGCAAATTTGCGGTGCAAGCAAGTATCGTGTTCATTGTCGTATCCTGCCTGGAATGGAAAGGAATGACGCGCTCGCCTTCTTCGCGAAGTCAGGGTGGGACCCTGCGGAGGCAAAGATGCGCCGGAGGGCGCGTGGGTCCCGTGTTCGCCGAAAGTGTGCCGAACCCGCTCCGCTGCCCCCCGTGTCCCACTGACGTCACTAGTCATCTTGCTGTGTCGACCACTTGTTCGGGGGTGCTCACCTTTCCTGCGCGGATTCCGATTTCAGAGCTTCAAATTCATTCCTGATACAATCATTTCTAATCCCACTTTTGTCTTTTCCCGGTCCTCGAGGCATTAATACCACATATTACGATAGCGGTGTCGCACGACCTGACAAACAGCATTCATTCACTTCTTCCATGGACATACGCAACGTGACTCAGGAAGGTATTGTTCTTTTCATCTTGAATTATACGATCACCGAATCGAGTCCGGTTGCGACAAGTGTGGTCAACCTCGATCACGATGTGTGGTACTTGTGGCAATACCAGGGATGTTCGGGGCGACGCATGCACTAGAGGATGCTTCACAAACCGCAGAATATTTTCAGGGTGTTTCAACTTCAGTTCGGTGAGGATTCACCGCACCATGTCCCCAGAGAGGCCTAAGAAGATCCACAGGGAGCGACATTCCCCAGTCGCCTTAGACACAACCCCTAAATTATCCGAGCCGAGCGCTATTCTTCTCCTGAACCAAGCGAGCGGTTCTCGTGCCTTGGAGCTAAGAAGACACAGACCGGCGGGTGCCTTTCCTTTGCCGGGCCAGGAACGAGTTACGTTGTGTGGAATATGTGGTCCAGGGTGCTTTCGAGGTAGGTTGGCCCAATGACTAGATCAAACTCCCTGGTTACTGGTTGCAATTGAAGCCGAACTGAGACATAATACGCACTGTGACGTTGTTCATTCACGCTCGTCACGTGACCCGATCTCAGTGAGTCCCCTATGACACCCGTGGCCCTTGCCGCTCCTCACCAACCCCACACCTGTCAGTTGTACATGCACGTCTCTGAGAGATTAGGCGCTGGCACTTCACGGCAGGAACCGGCCTATACCGATGCATTGATACGCCGCTGACGCCCATGTTTCCAATCCCTGTCTCGGATGACATGGGGGCAGAGGGCATGCTCATTTCATCCCTGGTACGGTTAAGTCGACAAGCAATTTGGGTCCAAATCAAGCCCTGACTGCTAAATCCCGGGTGTATGAATCAGAGCAGTTCGACGGGAAAGTGGGAAGAACACCTCATCGACGTTCGAGTGTTAGGAAGGGAGCGACAGAAAAGGCAGCACGCCGCGGCCAGATGTTCCGGATCCATGCTTTATTCATTTCGCACGCAAGAATTGACTGATGCGGCGGTGATTCTCCAGTACAATCATACGATATCCCTCCCTGACCCTGACCCGATCTGGAGAGCCTTCGAGAAAAGCCAATTATTCGAACATACAAAGGGTCGGGATTAGCACAATCAGGTATCAGACATTGGTCAAGCCGTTCATGCATTTCATTCGCCGTTCGTCGATGAAGATGAACAGCGGAACCGGTCGCCTTGGCCAATTTCGTAAGCGTCATACTAAGGTTGTCCGCTCGTGACACGGCCTTACGGAAGACACGCACATCGTCAATCCCTGGAAGTTGATCACGGCACGGGTACAACCTTTCATCCGGTATCTCAATACACATACAGCGTCTTCTTTACCTTGTACACTGAATTCTTGTACCCCTAGAGTTCGTCCATGTGGCGTGCAAAGTGCCTGGAATGCAGCTTGGCACCAGCATCGTCGATGGCCTTGATATCAGCTTCAGAGAGATTGGGCAACTTGTATACATCGAGATACTCCTGCAGACGCGCGGCAGTCCTTGTTGTTCTTTCAACTCCATGTCAGCTTGGGGCACAGTTTCTGGATTGAGGTTGCTCACGTAACAGCGATAATCCCCTTCTGCTCCAGCCACTTCATCAGAACCTGCGTCTCGGTGCCACCAAGCTTGTTGGCCAGTTCACTTAGAACAGGCGTGACTGGACCGTCAGTCTTCTTGGTGACGGGCGTCAAGCCGCCGAAGGACTCGGTAAGGATGCCGTGTTCGGATTGGAACTTCAGGAGCGGCAAAAGCTGCTTGTAGACATAAGGGTGCAGCCTGCGACGCACAAAACCGTTAAGCAATCACCAGTCATCACGCGAAGGACAGAACGCACTCTATCTGGTTCACCACCGGCTTGTACTTCGCAATCTTGAGCACGCGCTCAAAGTCCTTGATGCGGAAGTTGGAGACACCAATGCTCTTCGCCAAACCGGCGTCCTTGACCTCCTCCATCCCCTTCCACACTTCTTCCAGACGACCAGGCGCTTCAAACCCGGTGGGTGAATGGATGAGGAAAAGGTCGACATAGTCCGTCTTGAGCTTTTTCAAGCTACCTTTAAGACTCTCGGGTATGGTCTCTCCTTCGCCAAGCTTGACGACCTTGGTCGTGACGAAGAGTTGTTCGCGAGGGACGCCGCTCTGAACAATCGCATCGCCGACGCTGTCTTCGTTTCCGTACACCTGCGCACCGTCGATATGTGTGTAAGCAGCTTTGATGGCCGCCAGCACGGGCTGGGTGACGTTCTGCTGATAGAGTGCCGTCCCCGTTCCGAACGCTAGTTGGGGGATTGTGTGCCCGTCGAGCAGCTTGAAGATGGGGATTGACATGACGAGTGGAAGATAGGCGGATATGCACACAAGCAGATAGAACACGAGAGCCAGGTTTGATGCAGGTGGCAACCTCCAACCTGACTATATGCGACTTGCGCCATCGGATATGTGTAGGATTGCTGATGGTGTAACGTGGGAATTTACGCAGTAGTAAGCAGGAGATCGCATGAGCACATCATCGCGTCCACCAATCACGCGTCGTGGGGGACGCCGCCCAGGACAGCGACGACACGGATGCCTCGGACCGAGGTCCATCTCTCTATTATTGACCAGCTGGCAATAATTCAGTCATCTCCCTCCTCTGGGTCCGTTCTTACCGCGCTCGTTGATTCCTTGTACCTCACCCCAGGCCGCTGACGTGGCCCCCCAACAAGGACGGATCCGCTCTATGCCTGTGAATAGCCAAGTAGGGGTCCTTTCTGTTGTTGTCTATACAGTCCGCCAACAAGATCTAATTTGACTGTCTAAACTAGGATCACCCCTATCTCTGAGCCAATAATCTTCTCTCAGGCCAATCATTCTCCCATAATTCTAGTCTGTTCCTCTGCTCTCCTATCCCTGACTAGACAGTGCATCAACACTGTTGAGCTCCATTGATCATTGTCTACAACTTGCTCATGCTTGGTGGACCTCAAATAGGACATGTGAATAGACCAATCTCTCCTTTCTCTCTCTCTGATGGTCTTTATGAACTTACCTGCTTCTTGTTGATATGGTCAACCAAAGGCCATGGAAAATTCAACTCACAGCTAAATGGGACATTGACCCTTGGCACACCTTGATCATTGGGTACTTTGTGGTCTTTCCCAGTCTTCTCAGCAATGGGCTCCATTGCCCTCCTGACCTGGTGGTTGGCCTGGCTTATGGTCAAAAGATGTGGAACATCATCCTGGTGAGTTCCCACTGGCTCAAAGGCAAGGACCAGCAGGCAATTGAACACCACATCCAGTGCATGACCCAGGCTCTTGTTGACTATCTCTCATTCTTCTATGCTGTAGATCAAGCCTATATCCATGATCATCTTTTGGAACCACAACTACCAGAACTTTTGCCAGTGACCCTTTGGAATCTTTTTCAAGCTCAATGGCATAACAGCCCTTATTCTGATCATGGTGTGTATCAGAGGAGGCATGTAAGCTCATCTGCTTATCCCTGCTCAGCAAAACAATATTGACATTGAGCTCAGCAATGTTTGAAAGATTACCAATATGCCTTATGCACCTTGGGTCGTGATCAACTTCAAGATTTGCTCATCAACCACCCCAACAACAGTGGTCATCACACATGGGAACATTTTGGGATGCTGTTAAGTCAACATATTCTTCTCAGTGAGGTGTTTGGAGCTTGCTGTTCTGTGATCTTCCTTACCTCTCTCAGGATCCAGAGCTGAATTCTGCTGGACACCATGATTAGTTAGTACACTAGAGCCAAGTTCCAATCAACCCCATTCTGTAGCTCACAGAGTTGTGAGGGTCACTTGTCCCATCCAATTAGATACTGAAATTGCTGATCAATAAATCTTGGTTCCCACAGAATCAGTTCCCTTGTTTTGTCCTGGCTGCATGGTCTGTCAAAACACTGTCTATCCACTGTCCCAACAGGCCAAGTATCAGGGTGGGCATAACTTTTTGTATTCACCCTTTTCTGCCTCTTGGATTTTTTTTCCCACTGAGTGCACCTTCCTTTGCCCTTATTGTTTCCATTGAACCAGTGTCTATGTACTTCACATTCCTCAAGAACTACCCAGGTTGCTGAGCACAACAACCATTCAAGAGCTGTGGATCAGTGTTATGTGAATAGAATTAGACTAATTGATTCTGTTCCTAATGATCCACAGGTACCATATCCCCATTCCTTGAGCTCACAGGTGGGCTGTGGGCCATACTGTGTAAAGAATCAGCAACAAGCATTTGTCAGCTTTGAACACATATGGATCTTCCTAATCAAAGGAAGGTCTAAACCTCCCTCACTTGTCACACTGCACCCTCCTAATCTCTCACCCCTCTGCACCAAGGACACCTGGAGGATGGATCTTGGGCACTACATCAACTCTGTTCATAGGTGAGGCAACTGACAATAAGTTCAAGAACTTAAGGGTCTCATCTTCAGTCTATGCAAAGGGTGCATGCAATGGGATGAAGAACTTACATCAACATATGCCCATACATGATCCAGCATGGTGATTGGTTTTGCCATTGGAGATCCAGCATCAGACCTTGTGCTCTCCCAGGCAGCCAATGTGACTGCATCAGCCTGCAACAATTGCTATCCACAGGGTCACCCCTTCATGCAAGTGCTGCAGACTGTTTGACTCACCTCAGCACGATCAACCAACACATCTACAAGAGCTCCAAGCTCTTCCCTCAGGAATTCATCCCCAGAGTCTGAACCACTGGTCTCCTCCATAGGACATTTGCTCACCAGTCTTCCAACATTCACAATGCTTTCCTTGACTTTCATGATTGGAGATGTTGGTTCAGAGCAGGAGGAGATAATTGTCAGGTCAGGAGTAGTTCCTGGGTATCTATCAGACCACCAGTATCTTGTGGAATGCAGTTCAATGAACCTTTGCCTTTGTTGGCCCTTGTGAGCCTTGCAGCAGAGCGACTGGATCCTTTCTTCCCAGCTCTCTTGTTGGAGTGTCTTGCCATAATAAATATTCTGTTGATCTGATTACAATACAAATTGATAGTGTCAAAATGCCTCAAAGAGAAGGAATGATATGATCAAGAACCTTGCCTTCATGTTATCTTGATGTCTTGATGATCAGTTCAATAGAACAGGTCGAGCCTCACATGATCCCCCACATGTTGTCGATTGTGATCAACTTCTGTCCCTCAATCATTGTGCTCATTCAATTCAATTGACTCTATTTCTTGTATCATCTAATCTAATCTTGACAATTGCCCTCTATGTTCACACAATGACCAGTCAGAGCTCAAGATCTTGTGGCAAACAAAAATCAACCTCTTCTTCAGTGTGAACTCCCTGGTGCTGGTGAATCTATCTCACATCGTGACTATGGCTATTCTCTAATGATCTGGATTTAGGCCCATTTGACTATTGCTTCCTTGGCTCAGATCATGTGGGCAACAAGTGCACCATTTCTGATATTGGAAATCTGCTGGGACACAACATTGATGGTCCAGCCTTTGACCCACAACCATTTGGCACATTTGATTTGACTTTTGATCCAGAAGTTCACAAGAGAATGGGAAATGACCCCATGTCTATCCTCCTCTTCAACAACAGCTCAATTCCAGAACTGACCAACAGTATGCATAACTGCACCAGTTTAAGAAGTGCTCTGATCTTTCTGTAGATTTTATACCACAGTTCACACTGATCAAATCAACCATGTCTAACAATCAGATCATTGAAGAAACCCCCGGAGTGTATGATAACTCCTGGTCTTCAGGATCTGATGTTTCTATCACTCAAGATAATGAATTCTTGCCAGTGAGTATCCACAAACAGTTCACACCTGTCTTCTGTTGATTTCCAAATCCCTAGGATAATGGTCACCTTTGGTCCCCATCCCTCGTAAACACAATCAATTCTTTATTTGTCTCTGAACCTTCAATCCCAAATAGCACAACACAGATGCCTCAAGACAGCAGACACACAAACTCCTCCTATTCTCACAATGCTAGATGTCAGGGCACCAGCTCATTGCTTGGTCAAGAGACATGACTAAGCCTTTATGACATGGAAGTAGCTATACCTTGGCATGTGCTGGAACCTGCTGGAAGGATTGGATGGTCAGGTGACCTGCTGTGCATGGCTGTGCATGACCTCATATGACCTCATCCTTGGTCATATGACCTGATCACCTGACTAGGCTGAGTAAGCAAGATGTTCTAGCAGGTTC